AAAGGAAATGATCACCAACTAAAGCAGATCTTGATTGTTAAATTAATTCTCCTTGTCTGCACCTTTGGAAATGTAGAGAGGACAGTAAGGAGAATATGCATAATGATGTTAGAGTGTCAAGGGTTAATCATAAAAGTTGGAAAAAGTTTTTAAGTAGATGGGCCAATAAAAAAATCAAAGAATTCTTCAGTTACACAGTCAATTAACCATTCCACATTAAGGTCTACATCTCAAACTGAGAGGTAAAAGAGTATATTACCTGTCTTCTCTCTCTAACATTTCCTTTGTGAGAAATGGTGGAATTTTCTAGAAAAGAAATTACATAGTCTTATATTCAAAATTTCTCTTTCCAAATTTCACAAGTACTGTTTTCATAATTCAAACTTTCTCTTCCCAAATTTCTCAAGTACTGTTTTCATAGTGCTAATCATTGTTATAAAACACTTGTGAATAAATCTTTCCATAGGTACACCCACACCCACCAAGCTATATCTGGAACAATCTGACAATCTATGTTCACACTTGGTGCCAGAGCATTAGTGCCTAGGGCACTGGCACAAACTGGTGCTGTGTTCAGACACTGGTTATAAATTTTTCAGACTTCTTTTGCTGAAATGACTTATAATGCATTAAACCTTTAAAAAACAACTTTACCTCTTTATCAATCCTAATAACAGGTAAAAGTATGATATAATTTAGGTCTATTTCATGTGAAATATATATATCTTATTAGACGTTTTGTTGTGTAGTATCGCTGAGTATTTTACGAGTTGTGCCATATTTCAGTGCAGGTGAATTTCACAGATATTTATTTACTGGGAGTGCGTGACAGAAGGATGCGAAGCAGATTATGGAATTAGTGCGTTGTCATGTTGTTGTTTCTATTTTCTTCAATAAATGAAGCAATTTCCAGGTCGTCTAGCTGTTTTTCTTCGTTTAATTCATCTAATAAACTTGGATGTATATTTGCCAGCCATTCTGACTCTTCGTCGTCGGAAATATGATTCAAATTGTCCACCATTTTTTTTTCATAACTACAATTCAATTCTTCGCTTGCGTGATGTGAGAAAACCTGTTTAATCAGTACTCTAGAGAACAAATACCCCGTGATATTTGTACTCGTCTATGGCATTATTTGTACTCTGCCAAGTGTAGTTGGATAATAAATGTATGTATGACACTCAATGAGCTATACCTCTGTTAGGAGAATACAACTAATAAGAATATCATAGTTTAGTATCTCCTCAAATGGCCCTCCAGCCTTTGTTTCTTCCATGTCCCATTCTGCTATAGAAGACCTGCCAATGGGATCCATAGTGGCAATAATCAAAGCTTGATATTTGTATAAAGTGTGGTTTTAACTTAAAAGTAAGATCAAACTCAATGTTTATTTTTCTTTCACCAAATCAATAACTTTGATGACCTACTCAAAATCATCCCTTGAAAATAACCTTAAGCTAGCAACCACACAAATTTTCAAAGAAATAATCATAAATTCATCAATTTCCCTGAATCTAATACCCATTTATTCCATTATGCATTTAGGTCACTCTACAGTTATTCACTTGATAATTGGTATAATGTGGTAATAACCCTATAGCACCAAGACTTATTGACAATGTTCTGTAATGTATTTTATTACACAACTCTGGCAGTTAGAGGGCCAATAACTAAAATCAACCAATCAAAATGCTCTATTGCCGGGCCAATATTCTCTAAGTATTGGACCGGCCACTGTCCCGAATGGTCCTGAATGATACCACACTTGTGTTCCTTTGAACTTCAGTCGTATAATAAATCTCTTATTAACAAAGCTTGCTCAGGACCGTACTGGAAGAATATCAGCCCTTGGTCTTTTTTGTACAGACCTCGCTGCACTTGGTCCATACTGTCAAGACCTCAGGCCAATATTCTCCCAGTATGGCCCTCGCACTTGGTTAATAAGATATATTTATAAAGCAAGATCTCACTTTGGAATACCCAGTTTATGGGCAATCTCTGATGCTCCTCTTCCACAGCGACCCAAGGCACCAATCACCATTATCAGAGGGAAAACTTTTTGAACACCTACAATGAAGAATGGCAAGTAATCTTAAAGACCTTTTCTTTTTATCCAAGATGAAGCAGTTGTGCATGATTTTACTTGGAATGTAGAATTACAATGTAATTGTAAACAGACTTATCTCTCTTCACACCCTCCATCGGGCAACAATTCTTCCAGGTTGATTCTCTCTGTTTAGAGAAGGTCAACCCACTCAAGAACAAAGGAAGCAGAATGCATGAAGCAGTCTGCAACAGAGACCAATGGCTCCAACTTGTTGCCAACTTTGTTCCAACCAATAGCTCTAAAAGGAACATGACCTGAACCAAGCCAATTAACTGAGGGTCATCACTGTTGAATTCTTTGATGTAAGTGGATGCTACCAGTAACTTTTTAGCTCGTTTTCAGCAAAGAATCAGAATTAAGATGTGAAGAGGGATGACTGTTTATTTGTACTAGAATTACCTTTTAATTCAGCAACTTGTTTGATTTGTAGTGCTATGTGATCAATGAAAGCTGCTTCATTACCATATGGTTTCACCTCACCCATTGGCTTATCAGAACTGTTGACAATGAAAGTAAACTTAAACATAACCTTAAAAGTTATCTTTGAAACTAGTTTACCTTTTGAAAATCATACCTCAACTGTTGATGGCACCAAGCAAGTATTCCCAGTCCCATTCCAACAAGTCCGGCCATTCCACTAAATTCTGCCACAACTCTCCTACCTTAAATAAAAAAAAAACAATTAAAATTCTAAATTATCTTGACCTCGCAATATACAATCAAGGAAGAAAAAAGCGAGAACATCCCAAGGAGTCTTCCAGGAGAACTGGAGTCAAAGGTATCTGGTTATCAACTGATTATAATCCCCACCACATGAAACTCTCTAAAGTAAAATTTTACCACTCATACACCCTTCTTATTGAAATAAATTATTCGTTTTTGAGAATTCTCTAACATTTTCCAGGTGACCATAGCTTTTCTTGAACAAGAACGTGCAAGATATTAAATGTTTCAAATGCTAGAATTGGTACAGGAAGATGAGAATATTTGAGTATTCAAAAAAAGATAATTTTGCAACCATAAATACCGTATTTCCTCGAATATGCCCTCAGTTAAGCACCCTCCTTCAAATAAGCACCCCCCCCTTTTTAGCTGAAATTCTAAATAAGCGCCCACATGCTTATTCAAGGAAATATGACACTTTGGTCTAAGGTGGGCAATTATGAAGGGGGCGCAGGTGGTCAAATAATATTTGTGGAAGTACAGTACCTAAGCTCTAGAGATCGTATACAAAATGAGGTTCTCAAAAGGCTTGATAACGTTGAACTTACCTTCTACATCTGTCATAAATTCAATGTCTAAAATGCTGCCCCCTCCCTTAATAAAACGATGGAGTAAAGTTGCCCAACCTGTCTGATTCTATGAGAAAAATACAAGGAATTTTTAAAGTTGATAATGATGAACCATGAGCTATAACCCTCTCTTAGCCCTTTCACTCCCAGGATGAAAGTAACAACTCTGCTTACTGTCTGCTATACAATTCTCATAACATTACTCTGAAGAATTTGGTACTAGATCAACTAATAATCCCCTAATTGACGTTATTCTGTATTCTCATCACTTGTCTGCTTGATATTGTATTGATATTGTAAGGAGAAGTTCTGTCTTGGTCAATCATGGGAGTTATAAGGGCTTAAGATAATTATGTTATGAATCATAATTACACCCAACAAAGTGTCTCCATCCTCAGTGTTTGGTGAATTTTACCAAGCAAAAATAGGTTTCAGGAACTGCAATATCTAATTTTCATATAAAACTATTTTTGTTTATCAAGCAGAATAAATGAAGTCAATCTCTTGCATCAAACAGAATAATTAAGCTTTTTGGTCATTCTTATTCACAAAGTCTGTAAATGATCATTGAAACATGTTCTGAGTAAATAATAGTTTGCAGCCAGGATTGGGAGATTGGACAACCACTCCTTATGATTTTGACCTTACATTAAGTCTTCTCCTTTGGCTAGAAAGGTTTCCAGTACTAATAAATCACAAAATACAGGTATGTTACTGTAATTTCTTGTTAAAATCCCCAATCGAATTGCGTTAAACAATGTAAAAGCTTGGTATCAATACCTTATAAGCATGAGCAAAGTAGATGTGTCTATGAGATACTGGTTCATCAGACTGAGGAAGCTCTTTTAGTCCCAAAATTATAACATCATTCGGAACATGGACCCAAGATCCAGCTTGGACCATACTGATTCCTGGTATGCTACAAAAATTTTAATCAAAATGTGAAAATTAGCCCTAAATATACAAACACATGACCAATAACAAGAAAGTGTTTTCCACCCTAGAATATTATTGCCCAAAAAAACAGCATGCATATACCACTGATATTCCTCATTCTTGAAGGCTGACTGGTCAGAATATTCTACAGAAACTTGAAAACCTAAAAAAAAAAAGTTGGATAATAAACTCACTGTAACAGATCCTGGCTCTTAGCAGCAACATAAAAAATGGTAATACAGATACACCTGAGCAGTTGCAATTATATAGCATTTTCTGATCAGAGGGCCTTTCTATGCAAGAGTCTGAAAAACAGATTAGGCAGGACCTGAATTCATGAGCATCTGTGCAGATCTCTTTTCACGGAATTGAAGGTTATACTCAATGCTCTGACTATAGCATTTATGTGCCCAAAATTATGTTGTCATAATTTATCTGACCCTTGTAAAGACTGACGGCATCAACTGAGGGCAGCCATAAAAAGGACAGTTCATCGTAAAGTTCTGAATTTTTGACAACCTCAGCAAAATTCATGGTTCTGATGATGTTTGCAGCTCAGGTCATTAAATCAATGTCAGTCATTGTTGCTGAAATTAGACTTGTTCAGCAGTATCAACAAAACTCTCCTGTGCAAATTAATTTCATTATACCACAGAAATTCCTGTACATAACTCCTGGCTTCACACCATTGGTGGAAAGATATTTCTATAACCTCGTACTATTCTAAAACAAAGCTGTGGTCCTGAGGGCATTCTAGTGATTCCGCCATAGTTTTTTTTTTTTTTTTCCAAAACCGTATTCCCATTGAAGTACAGGGCTTTTTTTTTTTTTTTTTTTTGTCCAAAACCGTATTCCCATTGAAGTACAGGGCTGTGGGAACATCTTGTCAGAATAGGATGATATGGTAAAACATTTATGAGTAGCTGTGAAATCGGATCGTCCATTATTGAACCACGTGGGGCCCATACAATCTGTTTGTGTAGCCGACTGTTGTTTTATAGTGACTGTACCAGATTTACCATTTGCCTCACCTATAGTGATATATTGCTGACAATGTGCATAAATCATTGATAAAAAAACGTTGAATTACTTTACCTGTGGTGTATAGTCGTCCTTATGCCTCAAAAATGTTCTTTTTTTTTAGTTCAGACTTACTCAAAATCGCTCAAAAAAAAACATTTTTGAGGCAAAAGGACGACTATACACCACAGGTAAAGTAATTAAACGTTTATTTATCTATGATTTGTGTACATAGTCAGAAATATATCACTATAGGTGAGGCAAACGGTAAATCTTGTACATTCACTATAAAACTACAGTCGGCTACACAAACGACACAGACAGATAATTTGTATGGGCCCCCTGTGATTAAACTAAATTGAGGCCGAGTTTCACGGACATGATAAGTCTTGTTCGCAATCGTTCTTGTTCGCGTGTTTGCTTGATCAGATCAAAGAACGGCTGTGAAGGAGACTTAGGCCGCGATTAGCATTGATTCATTTTAAGCTGACCTACGATTCAAGTCCAACAGTGAACTGAAGTGTTTCGGAGCTATGAAAATGGGCCAAAAGGTCGATTGCAGGACAGTCGCGTCACACTAGATTTACGAATCCAACAGTTCACTTCACCTTTCAGTTAGTACTTGCAAAATACTTAAGTTTGCGTCCTAATGAAAAGTATTGTTATAATTCGCCTAGTATTATATATATAACCTCGAAGTTTACCTTTTTCAATTAACTCCTGGCATTTATCGGGGGTTAGAGCTCTCCGCTGCTCATTTGGTTTTGTCTCGGCGCGAAGCAAAATGTGATGAACACCATCACCACATGTACTCATTATAGTCCTAAAAATAATATAACTCCTCTTTACTGTTTGTTATTTAAAGAAATATCTAGCACAGTGACGGATAACACTAACAGCCCTACACGAGAGGAAACTATCTACGATCACAACACAGATGTCCCAAGCTCACGTCTCGAGAAAAAGCGTAAAATAAGTTACGAAAGCGTTAGATGACTAAAGTAGGTTCCAAGCCTCTTCCGCGGCCATGTTCAGTCTTCGCATCAAAAGCATCTTGAGCAGAAAGAAGCGAACTTGGAAATGCTGGTAGAAAACGCTCGTTTTCAGCGTATTGCGCGGGGAGTTTTGGAATTGAGACATCTTCCAGGGTGCACTGATCTTAGAATGTAAACTTTGGTTGAAAAAATTGCAGATCAGAAGGATTTTCGGGGTGCAAACTGCCTTCGCGTGGATAACGTGTGCAGCCTTGACTTAGTCTTGTAACAGGAACGCTCAGGAAAGGTCGCTTTTTCAGTGGAAGGGATGCATTTACTTTGAAATCGTGAGGAAATATATTTGTCTCAGAAGTTTGAATGCATGTCAAGGTGACTTATAAAAATCTAACTCAGTCACATTCTAAAACAAAACAGTACACAGCAGTAAGCCTTATAACTTCTGAAGTGCGAGTCAGACCGATTATTCTTACATTACTACAAAGACGAGTCCATTAGTTACGAATCCACATCCACACAAAAAACATTAAATGGTGACGATTTCCTAAAACGAAAGGAGAGAGGACGATAGAGAAAAGAGGGTAGACCTGTAGGACTGCTGAGGTGGACTCCATTACCATTAGTACTTGGGAATCAGCCTGCCCTTACCACTCGAAGTTCCCCCTCGGAAGGATCGAAGGACTTGTTTAAGCAGTGGAAATAGAGCTCATGAAAGGGGTTATGGGTGAAAAGATTCGGCTTCTATCAAGTTTTTCCCGCAAACAAGACTCTACCAGAGTGCTTTTCGAGCCCCTTAGTTTAATGTCTCCTTATTTTCCTACTAAAGAGCTATTCAAAGATGATTTTACCTCCAATCAAACAGTTCGTGTGGCCCCCCCCCCCTAACATCTAAATTGTGCATTTGCACCAAATTCAAAGCCATAGTACTAGTGATGGGTTATATATATATATATATATATGTCCACACAAATTCTAAAACCAACAAAAATTCAGAAATGCAACCCCAACAGACAACTTGTACTATATTTTATCAAAATCAGTGTAATAAGAGCCAAAAACAATTACAACTAGGTATCAGAAAGCTAAGAATAAAAAAAACTCAAAACAAGTGTCAGTGTATATGACCGCATAAATGCCATGAAATCACAAGGATTTTTAAAGCTCATTACAGAGCTTCACAAAAAAATTCATGATGGTCAAAACAAGACACCCTGAAATTAATATTAACTCTACAATTTTGCCCCATCATGATCTACCTTCAATATAAACGATACAGAATACTAGTTAGTCCTGCTTAAATTACAGCAGAACAATTTCCTGCTGACTACACCACCTAAATTCCGATGATAGAAACTTGAATACCTTTCAATCTATTGATATTTTAACCAAAGTCATAAAAAAATTGACAACTTACACAGTATTTTGTGACAAGAAATTTCGTAGTCTAGACATCAAATTATGAAACCACCCTTGGATAATTTTCTTTCATACATTATCAGACTCTGAAGAGGAAGATGACAATTCTGCTTTATCTCTAGCTACAGATTCCTTCCTGGTTCGGATTTCGATTCCAGCCAGAGCTTCCTTCAATTTTTCTCTGTACATATTCTTCACCCTGACCCATGGAGGATAAGTGGATGCCTATAAACGAGTTTAAAAAGCAATTCAGAACCTCCATTCCTCTAAAATCATACTCAAAGGCTCCCTGCACAGTTAATGAGAAAAAAAAAAAGGATAGCAACAACCTAGGAAAACATTGTCAAGGATCTTGATGTAATTCCAGATATAGTCTTGGTACAGTTGTGGCACATTCTTTAAAGGAGTGTACATTTACTCCTTGCAGTGTTTTAGGATTCTTAAGTGAACTAACTTTTGAAAATAATTGCCTACAAATGTGTGGGAAATGCAAAATACAGAAGCCACCATTTTGGAGAACAACCCAGTAACTTGGCCCACATTGCTGAGGAGGACCAAAATGTGTCATGAGCCAAATTTTTCTAAACTAGTTCTCAGCTTCTGTGACTAAATTTTGTTCCCACTCATCTGGTTTTGAGTTGAGGTCTTTTAAGGCTGCAAACAGCTGCCTCGGTGCTGAGTAACAATTTCAATTGTTCAAAAAGCTATTTTGAAAAATACACCTATTTCAGAAATAGCTGCGTCTAGTCAAACATTTAGTACATCTACACAATTTTTGAAAGGTTGGATTAATCTTCAAATTTCAGTCAGTCCTATAATTTCAAATACAAATTTTCATAGCAAAGATAAAAATCATGGTTTTTGAAGAAGAGTACTTCTGTAACCAACACTTTGCAAATAGTTTCTCTAACTTATCCACTGACATACCTCGGGAAGTTTGAAAAGGAAAGGAAGAAGTTTAGCAGCATATTTATCACTGCTGTCCTGTGGCAAAAGGGATGGCAGATGATCAATTGCAATGACATCCAAGAGCTTGGTGCTTGGGCTGTTAAGACACAAATTATTTGAAAGTGAATTATAGTTTCAAGATTTTTGAACAACATAAGACATTATTGAGAGCCACAGTAAGCACATTCTGACAGGTGAAGTGTTTTTTTAAGGGCAATTTTCAAGATAAGCAAGTCCTTTGTATTGAAGTGAAGGTAAGCACACATTTTAATATAAGAAAATTAATTATTCTTTTCATGTAAATACTTCACCTTTTAAAGTAAAAGGTTCTGCACTTAGCCATATCATGAAATCAAGGTTTTTAAAACTTGGAAATGGTCTTTCAACTCTCACTGCCTATTGGTAAATATTTAGAACTGCTACCCAGATTACTTCCTCACCTCATATCAAGTCGATGTGTTGGTTTCACAAAGGTAGTGATGGTGTCATAGATTGGAAGTGGATTGTCAGGACTGGTGCAATCACAACTCACATCAGAAATAACTGTCAAATTTCTACAACAACCAGAAACACGCAGGTAGGTTAAACTGGAAAAATAACAAAACAACAGAACTTGAACTGAGACTAATCAATTAAATAACAACTACGGTGTTTTTCTTGGATTACCTGTTGTTGTTTTGGACCATTTCCTTTGTCAAGAATGGAGGAATTTTCTGTAATAGAAAAATTTCAAACTATTATAAAAGCTGGTCTATCATTAACAACAATTTTTAAATCTGAATCAAAATGACCTTTCCTGACCTTTGACAAGAGGATGCAGTTGATAAATACGTCATAGCTCAAGATGGCGGGGAAAGGTCCACCACCCTGTGTTTCCTGTCTTGTCCACTTGACAATGTTTCCACTTCAAAGACAAAATAACAACTTAAACCACAACTCTAGCACACTTATCACATTTTAAGTGTGAATACTTGTGCACTGCTTTTCCATGATAAACTGTCCGAGAAAACACCCTGGACCACCCCACAAGGGAGTACTCAAAACATTAGGGGTGGGGGGGGGGAAGGAGAAGGGAGTTTCAAAAGTCACACTTCCAAGGTTAGGGGAAAAAAATAGAAGACAACCCATGACAGAATTTCTTGAGAGGTGGGCTGTATTGAAAGGAGAGAAGCACACCTACAACCATCTACAGAGGCTAAAACTGATTTTCCTGAGCCAATGGAACACAAAACTCTCTTGTGACATAGCTATGTTATGATATGAAACAAACAGTATGAAGGTGACCCCATAGGGTGCACTTTCCTCTTAAAAGTCTTCTAGAAACATTAGCCTGCGTGCAGCCAAAGGAAAACCCGGGTTTTATTCGTCTGCGAATCAGCGACAAATATCTTGTTCTGGAGTACCAAGATTTGAGTACTTCCTTTTGATTGGTTGTTCCTTATGAGGGCACTCATTGGCTTAAAATCACTCGCACCAGGGTGCCTCATATGCCATGTTTGTTTTCCGGGGCAAGTCTTAGCACGAGCGCTTGAATGTTTTAATGGAACGCGTATGTATAGTTTGTTCGAAGAATATTATAAATCACTAGGAAAGATATCTAGTAAAAGGGAGAGGTAAACTCAATGTAGCTCAAGAACTATCGAGTCTCAAATTCACTCGACAAAGTCCTTGCAAGCACATTTGCAAGTCATGCCTGGCTTTGTTGAAAAAGTGAAGAGGACTTGTCGAGAACCTATCTAAAATTGAGAAGGAGTTACAAGAATTGTTTGATAGGCCAGCTTCTACNGAAAAGAATTTTTTTCCCTCATTTTCAGACTCTCCCAAAATCTTATCCTTTTACACCCTTTGACATCTCACCACCAGTCCTGGAGGTTAATCACATTAATATTAATGATTATATGAGAATAATTCAAAATAATACCTCTCTCATTTGCAATCAGCTGTAATTGGCTCTTCATGTGGTTCACCATGTCATCTTCAGACATGTATGGAGTAACACTCGGGAACATCTCATTTGGCCTGATAACAAAACATCATTTTGAAAATAAAAAAACAGAACTGGTTTACATTTTGCGATGAAGCTGAGCTAAGAAAACCCTTATCAAATTTATTATATCAAACCCACCAACTTATTGGGTATCTCTGATTATAATGATCCACTAACCCACATAAGAAACAAGGAACATTAACATCACAGCAGTAACTGTGATGAATGTTTGAACATTTAAATTACTTACACGAGTCCATTAATGCAGGATAACATAAAAGACTTTTCAACTTAACGCCTTGCTCCCAGTTGGCTTGTTAGCTCAATTGGTAGAGCGCTGCACTAGTATCGCAGAGGTCAGTGGTTCGAATCCTGTACAGGCCTGATTTTTTTCAGGTCTGATTTTTGCTATTGCATAAATAGCGCTCTCTACTGAGAGGATCGTGCATCATATGTCCAAGGGACTTTCTGCACAAGTCAGTTTTTATACCTGTATCTGACAATTACATTAGTCATTTGGTTACAATGAAACCATACTTAAGCTGCTGATGACACCAAACTGCTATAGAAAGAGCAGCTCCAGCAATTCCTGCCATTGGTCCAAACTCAGCAACTTCTCGCTTTCCTACAAAGAGAAGCAATAGACATCAATTGTTTTGAAAAATTGTTCAGTAGGTTAATAATAGAGAAATTGACTAATTCTCAAAGTCCAAAATATACAAGGCAGTCAACACTTTTTTCTGACGACATATACATCACCTCATTGAGTGGAAGCTTGTGTTAAATCATGATACCCTGCAAATTGGTTACAGCTCTCTCTAAATTGGAGTAAACTCCAGCAAATCCTAGCAGTACTGATTCTCTATACTATAGGGCATTTTACTGTCCATATTTTACCTTATTCAAATTGTCATTTCTATCATTTGCCTCATGCTCATATGATTTCACATAATTTATTTAAAGCACCCACATAGTTAGTTGTACAGACTTATTTTGGGTGTTCCAAACAATACATAATTAGCAATAGTATAAAAATTTCATTTCTTCCCTTATGAATGAAATGCTCTTTTAACTTAATTCAATTCTTTTTGTTGTACATGAACTGAACATTAGCAGGGCTCGAAAAATATTTGAATTACACCTTGCCCGTTGGGCAAGTAACCCTTAAGTTTTGCTTGCCTGGGCTACTTCCCTGCTTGCCCAAGTTTTCAAACTAATTAATAATTCATGAACAGAGATTTACCTGGATTTTACCTGGATTTTATCTGGATTTTATCTGGATTTTAGCATCAAAGGGCTAGCTTTGTTTTCATGGTAGAAATATGTGACTTCTCAGTTTTCACAAACAATTTCTACAGTTTTAATTAATATATCGCTGTTGAGTTAAGTTTTGTAAAGAGAGACCGAAACATTCTCACGGGAAATTGCTACAATTAAGAAATAAACACAGTGTTTTCGTTCCTAACGCAGCTATTTTTATCTTGGAAAGAAATTTGATTGGGAAGATTTTGATCACGTGCTAGGCAACCACTTCTGAGCCGTGAGCACATGTCACGCAATCAACAAAACAACACTATAAATTGTAATTTTTGTCAAGCTTCATCTAAACACCTGATTACCCTTGGGCCTAAAGCTTACCTTTTCTTCTCAAAATCGTTATCAAAAATTTAGTCGGCGAATGGCTTGCCTGCTGGGTCCTTGCCCGTTGGGCAAGAAAGGAGATAAAGTTACTTGCCTGAAGGGAAAATCTAGTTGTCCCAGACGACCGGATGGGGGTTTTTTTCTAGCCCTGATTAGTTCCAGCGTTTTCCTTTTATTTCATGAACTGAATCCTTTGTACCAATGGGAGTCAGTTTCAGGTTATGCATCACATCATGAATTATTAAACCTTGCATCTGAGTTATCTGCCTCAGCCTTTGCCTTCAGCAGATAACTCAGACCCCCCCATTGATAATTCATGATATCATGCATGCTCAACCTCATCCAATAATTGCTTAACAAGACACATGCAGATGGGTTGTTGACAGCACAGCTTGAGGAAAACTGTGAGCTTCATTTATGCGGCTAAGACAGGTTGTTTGAAGCCAGTAAATGAAGTACCTACCACTGTCATTGACAATAAACTCAACATCAAGTAGTTCTCCACCACCTTGATGGAACCTCTGAAGCAATTCACACCAGCCATCCTGTCCCTGCAAAACACACAGTACGAGAGTCAGCAAACAAGTTCAGGATGCGAGAGGAAGCCAAAAAACCTTTCGAAGCTCAACAATGACATACATGGGTTTTTGTATGGAAACTCCTGCGATTCAAGTTTTTTTTCTACTTAGCTCTGGAAACCATGGTACTCTAAATCTCAAATAACGAAACCACAACACTTTTCCAAACAAGCCTTTTTTTCCTCTTCTAAACAACTGAGTAAAAATTACTTTAAAAATACTTCTATTAGATTTCAGAGAAAGTCATAAAAGAGTGGTTTGGTTAGATTTGAGTTATAAAAGACAAGAAGTTCTCTGATGTAATAATCATTCATCATAAATCACAGTATAAGAAATTAAAAATTGAATTGAAATTAACTGCCCATCAAATTGAATGCAGACACATGCAAAATCATTTCCATTTATAGAATCACGCCCACTCCAAAATTATTTCTAACTTGATTGTCAAGAATTTTAAACGAAATACAGGTCAAGGTTGTTCACAATAATTATTCAAAGGTGTCCCTGTGTATAAGTTGCAGACTAGGAATCTCTTATTAAATAGCCTAATTTTTAAAGAATCTAGAAATACCTGTAGTAAGTCTGGATAGATGTACACATTTTCATAAAACATTTAACTTGAAAAACCAGCTTAATCACATATGCAGGAAAAGAATTTTTCCGAAAATTGCTTCCTACAACATCTAAAACTGGAAATTAGGTGGGCAGGGTTCCAGGCTAACCTGTGTCCCCTGACAGCATAAAGTCAAACGGCCATGTCTGAGAAGAAAACATCATTGTTAAATTTGAAACGATCGATGACTCTTTGAATCATCGTGAAGTAAAGGATCCTGGCTGCAACATTTTGTTGCACAGTGTAGTAACTGTGCTCCAACATTTCATAAAACAATGGACACCAAGCAACTGCATGGTAACGTCTACCCTTTTTGCTGTAATTGTACAGCTGCAGGCATCAAAGGTTGCTTGTGTCTAATTAGTACAGTTATTGATAACCCTTTAACTTCCATGAGTGACCAAGACAGAATTTCTCCTTACAATATCAATACAATATCAAGCAGACAAGTGATGAGGATAAAGGGAGAGGTAAATTATGGGATTTTTTGTAACAAATTCTCAGAACTGAAATCATAAGATATGTATAGCAGTCAGGAAGGAGAATTACTAATGCAGGGTGTCAAGTGACAAATGACAGTTACAAAATAGGAATGACAGTGGCCAAAAAGTAGGAAATAAATAGGAATTCTCACCCCAAATTAGGAAAAAAAAAATAGGAGGATTTCTTTGAGTTCTATGTAATGTTTCATGCATTACTCTACCAAAGATAAAGAGAAGGGTAGTCTGTAAATTTCAAAACAGTCAAATACATAACAACTGATCATTAAAGGAATTCTGTGAATTATCAGGATGATCAAATAGAAGTATTAAGTGTTAACCCACACACTGTTTTTGGTACGCCTCAGAGCAAAATGTATTTCAACTGATTTACATCAGAATAAATACACCATGCAGTATGGCTTATAGCCTTAGTAACTATGTACATTCTTAAACCCAATTCTGATAACAAATCAAGTCAGCCACATGGACCACCTGGCTTATACTGCAGATGGATATTTCTCTCTTCTGAGCCAAGAGATGGGTAAAAGATGTGTTAAAGCCTCACATATTTCCCTTGCTAGCATTTCAACAGCATTCTTGGTACCAATTCATAGTCTTGGTATTGTTTAAAGTGCTACTGAAACGTAATTTTCATATCCGAGATTTTTGCAACATAATAAGAGTTTGAACGTTATTTGCAAACGCTGTGTACTTTTTATGGGCCAACGCATGGCGGAAAGTACATTTTTAACAATTTGAAGTTGACCGGCTGAGATCAAAATTGGCGGCCATCTTGGCACGGCCTAAACAGCCCTGTGACGTCACTGGTTGTGCACTTCTGTGAAAGAAGGGTAAAAGCATGGAGTGTGGCTTGCATGTTGGGAAGCCGAAAAAGAGGATTTTGGGCAAAATGCCATCCTTGTCTTCTTCATTGGCGGCCATATTGGCATCTTGGCCATCTGCGAGAGGTTCGCCTGGATAGGGANCATTATAACGGCAGATGGGCTACTAAACGCCCCGGGCCAAAGCAATGCCATTCAGAGAATGAAGAAAACATGGAAGCCTCATACGACACCGCCACTGAAGATGATCTACTCGGCAAGTCTGAGGATAACGAACAAATCCCTCTGTACCAAATGCCTAGCAGAACATGCCCAGAATCCCTACAATATAGGGCGAGGGCCAAAATAAGAGCAGACGAGGATTTCAAAAATGAGATAAAGCAAATCCTTAACAACGCGGAGCAAGAAACAGTAAAGGCGATCATGTGCTTCTATGAACGTGAAATCGGTCGTTTTAATACCGAAATAAAGAAAAGAAAACGAGCCAAAACGGCTGGAACACTGAACACTAAGAACTGTAGTACGATCGAATCAGCGCGCGTGGCGCAAGCTGAAAGCAATCAAGACAACTTAACGATCGAGACAGTCAAAAAAATAGCTGTACATCTACAAAGGCGAACGATTCGAAAAAGACGCAATCCCTGATGTGCGTACTCAGTGCCACACATAAAGCAAATTCTCATGAAAAACTGGCATTTAATAGAAACACAACCACTACTGAGCGAACTATACAAAAATCCGCCGCTCGTATCTTACAAAAGAGGGCGGTCGCTCAAAGACATACTCGTGAGGGCTAAACTTTGAATAGGCTACTCTAAACACACGCTGGGGAGTCGTGTAGGCCTGTCAACCCCAATTTACGGCACCATCTCCCTCTTTGCTACTGGAGACAACTTTGCTTTGTTCAGAAGAAGATTCACACCACAAAACTTCAATATCTGCCATCTCCTTCGCCCACGAATACAAACAAACAGTGAGTGAAATAAACCATGCTATAGGAGTGAACACAACCAGTGACGTCATCAATCCATTTCCCTCGGTACCAGAGCCCGGACATGGTTTGGTGTAAAATTTTTGATTTGAACGGTTAAAAAAGATATCTTTTGCCTCATTTTGGTCAAAGCAAATTATCTCATGACGATCACCATATTCAAAACTACAGGTTAGAGCAAATATTTCAGATACGAAAATTTCGTTTCAATAGCACTTTAATGGGTTATACAACAATATTGTGAGTTATTCCTTGCTCAAATATATAATTTAAACATCCAAGCTTCTACTTAAATCTACTACATCTACAAAGACAAAGACAAAGAGTCCTACTAAGGATGTGAAAAATGGTTTGTACATATAAAAAAGAATCAATCTATTTTAAACATTTCAAACAAGCAACGATGATAAGAAATTTCTTGAATGTTGCAAAAAGGACTAAACAAGGGCTGTTGGTCAACTCTGTGATCACTTCACAAAAAAAAAAAAAAAAAATGCATTTTTCACCAATAGTATGTAAATGATTCGAAGTTAAAAGACAAAAAAAAATTAATTTCTCACTTTAAAGGCATGGCCAAAGTAAATGTGAGGATGTTTCAGAGGACGATCCTCATTTGGCAATTCCTTGATTCCCACAATGTAAGCATCTGTAGGAGCATCGGACCAACTTCCCTCTTCAACAATTTTACAACCAACCCTACATGAAAGACAAAAATGTACATCACTTTTAAGTACATTTTTGAAAGCTATCAATATCTTCAGGATTCCAGGTCCACAAAAGAAATCTTTAAAATTCCAAAACTTGCAAGCTAAACATGAAAATTTCAACTTGGCAATGTCTTATCAAATTTTGTGTTAGTTTTTTTTCTTTTTCAATATTCAATCTTCATCTACAACCTTTCATAATCAACTTCTTTGTAAACTCGGTCTTTTGACTTTTCCACAAAAACCTGGTGACCTTTGAACAGAAAAACACAAAACAGTGTTAGTAACAATAAATTGTTTAGATACATACTTACATACATACTTTATTGACTTTCCCCAAGGAGGCTTTTCAAAGACAATGTTATAAAAATATTCCTATTACAATTAAAAAATCCTATTTACAATTAAAAATGTTTTAAAATCTGAATGTTCTAAAAGAAAAATAAAAGTATACAAATATATATGTAAAATTACAACTCTTTGAGTAATTTGGTCCTTAAACGTTTTTTAAAAACATTAACGGAGTTGCACAGTTTAAAGGAATTATCCAAAGAATTCCATAAGTTTACAGTTCTATAGAAAAATGTTCTCTGACCGCTAGCTGTTCTAAAGAATGGAATTTGCAAAAGCTGCGAATTTCTGGTGCTACGTCGACTAACCTCGGCTCGCTTTATGAATTTTGATGAGAGGTATTCTGGGGCCTGACCAGTCATGCATCTAAAAGCCATAGTAGCGTTCCGGTAGAAAAGCTGGCTTTGAACTGAAAGCCAATTTAGTTCCTTGCGAATTGGTGTAACGCGGTCAAATTTACGCGCACCGCTAACAATGCGGCATGCGAAGTTCTGCACTGCCTGTAACTTGTTAACATTACATTTTGAGGTATTTGACCAAACATTGGAACAATAAAATAACCTGCTGAAAACTAAAGAATTAATAATCATCAAAAGTTGCTTGAACAAGAATCAGTCAGTCTTATGGACCACAAGAGATGCCAATAGGGAAATATTTCTACAGACAAATTACACATCATTTTACAAGGTTGGCAGAAACATGTCAATTCAAAGTTTCATGATCTCCTTTTTTTCCTAGTTGTACTTGTGCACAGCTTCCAGAGAATTTCAGTGTCACTGTCCCTTTGTTCAAAAGTTTGAAGCAGTGCTTTGACTATGGCCACTTTATTCTTTAAAGCATTTTTGTACAGAGGGAATTAAGTTTCAAAGGACGGAGTAGGCTACCTCAAAATAACATACAGAAACTTCCTGTTTCTGAAAAACTGAACAAATGCATCATTATTTATAACTAAGGCAGCATTCTCATAAAGAGCAACCTTTATTGACATTTTTCTGCCACCTACAGCATTTATTCTGGGGTGATGTTTCATCACCTAGCAACTATGCATAATAATTTGCTTTCATCGACCAAAATTAAAATATTTGAAAAAAACAACTGGCACAATAATGTCAATAAAGGTACCAGATGATTCCAATGCTCCTTATTGTTATGTTTTTTTTTTAATCTACTTGGCATTGATGATCTAGTCTTTACTTAATACTGGTAACAAATAACAAATACCTCGGCATTCCTTCTTAAGTTGCGTTTCGCACTAGAGATTACCATTTCAATATCAAACCTATATCATTCTTCGCTTGAGCACTCAAGCTCTTGTTCTGCATAGTAATTACTTCATGAAATATAACTTGGTTTTAATCATTATTTACAATTGCTGAACAGTATTGCGCTTAGATCTTACTAGAAATCCAAACGGCTATTATTGTGTTTAAGCCACCAAGAATAACATAATTATTTGGCTGTCCAAGGTCAAGGATCGTGTTCTCTCATTTACAGAATAAGAACTGAGGTGTTATGGTCTATGCAATTCCTATGATCGAGCTTATCATTCTTTCCAAAGCACGATCTCAAATATTTTCTTCTTTTACTGTACGATTCCTATAATCTCGTGTTCCTCGAGTAAAAACTCGTAGTATGTAGACTAGTATATGAATGATTTCGTGAGCACCTCAACAGCTCAGACTTGTTACACGTGGTAGTAGCTCAAAACCTCGATCCTTCGACCAAAGTAGCTCTCCTGCTGAATTTGAGCCAAATAACTTCATTTCGCCTTTGTAACAAAATTGCAAAACAAAATCATTCCTTTCTCGAAAATATATTGCACCTGCTTATCGTCTCTTTTACATGGCGTCGAGTCTACGCCTAGCGACATAGCAAGTTGAGCGTTTTAAATTAAAAAAATTCGCAAAAACGTCGACCTCGGATACGTGGATCTCGTAAGAATCGCTTAATACATGAATAGTATTTGGTGAACATTTTGACTGGCAAAAATAAGCATTTTGAAATAAATTCAACAAGAACTACGACTCCCTTGGGCATAATTTGCAAATAACTCGATATACGAGCGAGTATTGGATAGACCCACTGTAATTCGCAAAAGCCGCAAAAAAAGAAAAAAAAGAGGAAAAACATTGTAGCTAGTCTTAAAATCTCATCATAGTAGAACAGGCTTGTACAATACATACTGACTGGGTAAATCAACCATGAATGTACAAACGCCAGAACTAACTGCGCGCTCGGTAAATAAAGTTCAAGAACACTTACCGGCTGATAGTAGCTTTTTGCAAGTGACTGGTGTTAGTGGAGTGCGTTGTTCATGCGGTTTCGATTCCGCCCGAAGCCAAAACTTCATAGATATGTCATCAGATGTATGTTTAGCCATATCAGAAACGATCCGAAGAAAAATAACGCACAGAAGTCCGTCGAGAACAGCAAAATTTCGCTTGCTGTCACCTCTTTTTTGACTCGCTCTGACGACAGATTGACCCCCGGTGGTGAAACGAAAGGGTGCGCATGTTCTGTTACAACTCAGGTCAAAGGTGGCGTTCGTAAAAACAAATCACTGACTAAGGTCTAAACTACGGTGGCCCATAGGTACGGTGCCCATATATTACCGGTGGGCCACTGTAGAAAAGGACGAATAGTACTTGCGAATCACTTCCGAACTAGCACATCAGCCCGTACTATTTATTTGTGTGGTATTAGACGAGGATGCCATTACTATTAGGTGACAGTATACCATTGAGTGAAACACACAAGGGTCTGGGGACTGTTCTAAGAAACTCGTCTTTCCCGGTCGAGGATTACTTCTTCCAAAAGTCCAGTCGAGTAAGCTGGCTTGGTTTCCAAGATTTAAAATGTTTTGTTTGCACTCATTTTATTGTGTTTCTACGAGGCTGTGGGTTGGCTAGCTTATTGAGATCTCGGTATTCTGGGTTGAAAATTTTCCATATGAACACTGCTCTTCGGTGAGCGGAATAACTCGTGAAGGCCGGCCCTCTCTTTCATTTCGCTAACCGAGCGGAAATTTCCCATGTAAACAGTAACCAGTCTGAAATCTCGGCTTGGTAACCGGGATGAAACGTCTTATGTGAAAAGGAGACAAATCTCGTTCCGGCAATCAGTTGCCCGGCCCTTATAAAGAGGCAACTGAATTAGCATAATGCGAATTTCTTCCGGTTCACTCAAATAGCACTCACCGAAGAATCCCGCCTACTCACCACCATGCACACACCCTGGGGCAGGTACTTCTGGCTGCGCCTCCCCTACGGGATCAGCAGTGCCCTAGAGGAATTCCAGTGGCGAATGCATGAGGCTCTCGAGGGTCTGGAAGATGTCTACTCCATAGCAGACGATATTCTTGTTGTAGGCCAAGGCAAGCCTGCGTCGCAGACAGTCTAAACCGCCGGTATAGACTATACCGGGGATTGTGTGACACGTCCGGCTGCAACGCAGGCTAGCCAAGGCGAGACCAGAGAAGAAGCAAACAAACAACATGACTCGAATGTCTTTGCGCTAATGAAACGTGCCAGAGAAAGAAACCCAGCTCAATTTTAACCTACAGAAGATCCAATTCAAGCTACCCAAGATAACCTTCATGGGCCATGNTGAAGACCTATCACCCTTCGAGTAGATGCATCCCAAGGTGGCCTAGGAACTGCCCTCCTATAACCAGATGACTCTGGCGATCTTCAACCAGTGGCCTACACCTCCTGCAAAATTCGCCCAAACGTAGAACTATGGGCTCAAATTGAGAAAGAATGCCTCGTCATAGTGTCCGCATGTGATAAATGGGACCTTTGGATATACGGTCGACAAGTCAATGTGCACACAGATCAGCAGCCTCCCAAAACAATTTTTTAAAAACCACCTCATGCAGCTCCTCGCCGACTGCAGAAAATGATGATGCGCCTCCAACGGTACAACATTAAAGTAACATACAAGAAAGGCACATCACTCCTCATAGCTGATACACTCTCCAGAGCCGCACTTCCCACCACTAATGACTCCAAGCAAACCAGTTTCGAGGTCTTCAGAGCTGACATTGACAACTACGTGGAGGACCCACGGAGCACCTCCCAAACACTTGATGATATCAAAATCTCCTCAGAAAATGATCCTACTTTGTCCGCTCTAAACAATACCATAATCCTAGGCTGGCCCACAGAGAAGTCTAACCTTCCCCAAAGCCTCCACCCATTTTACTCCTACTGAGATGAACTCAACACCCATGATGGGATCATCTGTAAGGGAAAGCAAGTAGTCATTCCGTCGGCTAAAAGGAGCTATATGCTTCAGAAGGCGCATGTTGCACACTTTGGCCGAGAGTCAATCATACGACACTGTCAAGATCATATTATATTTTGGCCCGGCATGGGGAGCGATATACGGAATGCTTCCAAATCGTGTGGGATATGCGCCCAATTTCAAACACAGAATTCGAAACAACCCATGAAGAGCCACCCCATCCCACAGTATCCCTGGCAATTCGTAAGCCAAGACCTCTGCATGTTTAAGTCGCACACCTACCTTATAACTATGGATCAGTACTCCGACTTTATCGAGGTCGACGAGGTCGAAAACACCCTGGCCAGCACCATTGTAACCAAAAGTGAGGCCCACTTCGCCCGTCATGGAGTCCATGAAACAATCTTAACCGACAATGGACCTCAATTCATTGCAACTGAGCTCGAAGCACTTTGTGGAAAATACCAAATTCAACACATTACCAGCTCCCCCTATTGGCCCAAAGGAAACGGCAAAGCAGAAGCAGCCGTCAAGATAGTGAAGCGGATTCTAAAGAATTCAGGATCCCGCCATCTACAAGAAGCGCTCCTTACCTACCGCAACACCCCCCAGGCAGGACATATCAAGAGCCCAACCCAAAGAAACACGGGGCGATGCATCCGTGGACTACTCCCAGTCTCCCAAGCCCTCTTGCTGTCAAATGACAATACCGCAGCATCTGTCCAGGACACCATTGCAGCAAAACGTGCAAAGGCCAAAGAACACTATGATACGAAGGCGAACAGCAACCTACCCCCATTTGGAATCGGCGACTTTGTCTACGCCAAACCCGGACCATACCACAAGTCAGGCCCTTGGCTTTATGGCCTTGTCACTGCAATACCAGCTCCCCGGTCTTACATTATTGAGACCCTCACAGGGCTAACAAGAAGAAACCGGTGCCACCTGCCTCCAGCTGCACCCCCACCCCCAGAGGCTCTAATCCCACTCTCCTGGATGAAACAGTTATCTGCCAAAACGCCACCCACAATTATGGTTTACGAGCCTTCAAAACAACCCAAGCCTGTGCCGCCTCCATCCTCGTCCGAAGGACCAAGCCTAAGCATCACAACCAACTCAACTCAGAAAACTCCTGCTAAAGCAGTCCCTACACCACTAGCAGCATCACCTCAGAAAGCTCTACCCTCTGAAGCCACCCCGCCATCCCCAATGGAGTTGAACTCTACAGGAATTGCAACACAACCTTCGAATGGTTCACACATCCAATCAAGTCCGAAGGAAGGAACCCTGACCAAGACCAGATCAGGACGGGTGTCCAAACCCGTTATACGCCTTCACATGTGAACTGCCTGTCCCCCGTTATCAGTCCTGTTGAACAGAACAAGCAATGATGTCATAGACATATTTCAGCATTTCTCAAACTCTTTTTATTTTTCTCTTAGACTTTATTGGTTTATATCCATTTCCTTTTTGCTGGCTGCTTTACTAGTATGCTGCGAGACCCAGCACTTATCACATTTGCTAGTCTTACAGCCCGAAACTGCTACAGAGCCGTTGTTCACGTTTCACACGTTTTACTGCTACTGCTAGAGCTGTACTTATCCTGTTCTGTTAAAAAAAAAAAAAACAAAAACAAAAAGCAGAGAAAGGGAGATGTTACGGTGCGCTATGCATCATGGTCAGGGGAATAAAGTCGCGAGTAGTTTTCCGCTCAATAAGATGTTGTTGTAGCTCTCTTGCTCCTGCTCGAGAAATGCAACTAAGTCATCTGTGTTTGGACTCAGCCATTACCCACTGTTACTTTAATCATATATAATTTCACGCGAATTTTACTTTTAAAAAGCCTCTACACGAAAAAAAAAAACACTTCTGATAAACTCCTCTTTGCATTTAACGCAGTGTACCTCAGACAAAAGATACTTTCATGAAAACATCCGCTACACGACCAAGTTTCCGTCAAACGATTGTTATGTTGAGCAACTGTAAGACACGTTAAGGTTACCGTGCACCTTCAGGGGTGTCTCGCGTGCAAGCGATGTAGTGCGTCCGGTTTAAACTGATAACTAAACCCCTATATCAAATTAAAGCTTATAGAACTGGCGAGCGCCCGAATCACTATTTGAACGTTACATGACAAAGCGAATTTTGTTTTTCGCTTATTTAATGTGTTCCTCCGTTTCCGGAGCCAAAGCGCTAAAAAAACGTGTTTGCGATTTGCCATATTCAATTTCAGAGAAAAGTTACAGAACATTTTTGAAATAGGATTAAAAAATGTGGAGTGATCGTACAAAAGTCGCTCTTCAAAAAAAGAATTTAGAAATAAAAAATTCGGAGACACGTTTTTGTTGTTTATACGTAAAACTAGTTACTTTCAAAATGTGAGAGCAATCGAACAAATTCCCTTTGACTTGTAGCTCTTAAAAGGTGATTCGGGCGCTCGCATTTAGAAGTCGTGAAAAATTCGACAATTCATTTTTTTTCAAAATTTTTGGTATAGTCTGATAGCCAGTCCTATAAGTTTTAATTTGATATAGGGATCTAGATATCTACAGTTTAAACCGGACGCGCTACATCGCTTGCACCCGAGACACCCCTGAAGGTGCACGGTAACCATAAAACATTTTTTGGAAGCGAACACCGTGATTTGCGATAAATTGGAAAAAAAACCTTCTACTTAAATGTTTTAATTTCCTTTCAGCCACCTCAGGGTTACTATTTTTGCCATAAATAGCAGTTTTGCTTCCGGGTTCCACAAATATTGTAGATGTACAGATATAGATAAGAAGATAAGTAGCACAAATAATAGTAACAACCATGAAACATCATCTGATCCAAAGTGTAAGAAGCATTTAACAAGCTTCAACTGAACTAATATTGTTCCTGATTTGCTCCAATCTTATAAAGCCCATTTCTTAGGTTTGTCGAGAAATTTTACTTCAAAATCATAATTCAATGATTTTAGGAGAATTTCCTCCAGCAGAGTAAGTCTCCCTCTGGGATATCAATTTTGAAAAAATTCAATATTAATGAAAACAAACGCTTCGAAAATAAAAAATTCAAAAAGGGCATGAGAGGTTAATGACGTGAGAGTCCAAAGAGAAAGTCTAATGACGTGAGTAAGTAAGTAAGTAAAGGCTTTATTTAATGAGGGTAGCACTAAAATAGTAAAGAATACTAATAAACCAGTGGCCCTCCTAGCACTAAAAATACAATAAAAATATGAGAGATATTAAAAACTATGGATTAACTACATAAAACGTCTAACTGGGATGTTTACCATTGTAAGCACTTCTAATAAAAAAAAAAAGTTCATTAAAAAAAAATTTAAAAAAGGAAACAGTGACATAAATAGATCCATCACACTCGTCGCTTCAAAATGATAAAAAAAAAACTAGAATTTAGCTTCTTTAGTTAAAAAGTAAGTAAAGTGTCTCCATATGTAAGCGAGGAAAGCAAGGTGCTATCGAGTACTTCTCAATAACGTATCGGATTTGACATGACCCTGAATCAAAATAGGACTGAAGGGCTCTTTCTGAGGTGTTTTAAGTTTCCCTGAGTCAAATATTTGAAGACAACGACAGTATCACAAGTATCGCAAGCAAAGATCTTTTTATAGGCCAGGTTCAGTCAATTAAAGATTCTCTGTTTCCATGAAAAGGGTTCACTTGATAACATCCTTGTTGATAAAGCCCGATGGAAAATATTTTTTTCCTAAAAAAACTGACAGACTAAACTTGGATAAAAATTGTCCTGCACAACAATGGCCTAATGACGTACGTCACTTGTAAAGGAAATGATAAAAGGTTTGAGAGAAACTTCTCCTCTCCAACGAGCCTGCCTCCACCTATGAAGCGGTTAATTTTTTATTTCGCTAAGTATTTTATTTCGTTTAGTATTCTTGCCAGTGAAAACTTTACTGAAGTAAAGATGGCGTAATATTCTCCGATATTGTTCATAAGACGAGCCGGTTACGCAACATTTTGTCTAAACAAGGATGCCCTCCTCTCCATTGGTCGCTGCTGCTTTGCTTCACCTAGTTTGCTCGGCAAGTGTTCCACAGTTTTTGGTCTTTTTGAGATCTTGTTCTTTTGAATGTGGTGAGATCAGTCTAGTCAATTCTTCTTGCCCAACGGAAGAACCCTGAGAACACGTCTCCAAATTTTCGTCGCATTTCGACATTAAAAGCAAGTAAGGTAAAGTGTTCCTCTCCACAATGCATGAACTCAATCTTGTATTTGTGTCTAAATCAATGCGATTGCATGTCACAAAGAACAGCTTCGTAATTATTGAAAACGTCTATTTTAAAACTCATCAATAAAGATGACAATGAATAGTTTGAATGCAAGTTCTGCCCCCCATCACAAATGAAAAAAGAATGGGAGAAAAAAACCATCGTAAAACACTATTAAAAGCAAATTAAGGTGAGGGTTTAAAGATATTTCAGTTTCGAATGCGATTAATTTCTTTAGTTCCGCGAATTCCAGGAGTTCTCAGTTCAGCCAAAAATAGAGTTTTCGCAAAGCCCATGCTGTAACTAACCAAACGGAACGCAGGTCAAGTAAACAATATTTTCTGTTCGTCTACACTCTGTTGGCATCTCTAGTGTCTAGCTCTGGGGACAATGGCAAACAAGTGTCTGCGCTTTCTCTAAATTTGGAACTTTTATTACTTTCCATAAAAGACTTATTACTGATATTGGTAACAAAACATGTTTTGAATAGTTTTAAACAGCTCGAGATCGTCTAATTTTAGAAACAGCATGTGGGAAGTAGATTGTGCGATAAACAGAAAAGGTAGTGGCACAAATAGTCGATGAAAGTTCTCTTTGGATCTTATGGGTTTATTTGGATAACGCCTGTGCTGTCTTAAAGAGAAGACCTGTCTACTTTAGCAAGTAACTATGTGTGGTAGAGCAATTTCACGCTCTTTCAAGGACTTAAACAAGTATAATATTTTTAATGTGATTCACGCGCAAGCCATTATTTAGGTCGACAATTTTTTAATCTTGTGGGTTCAAGGGCTCCTGGAGCATTCAAAAGAGCGGAGTGTGCTGCCATAGAAACCTCGGCAACTATCGCCTTGGAAACAGTCCAGATTTCAGAACATTTCAAAATCATGGAATGCTTCTACAGGATCACATCACATCGAAAACAAGCGAAACAAAGCGCGCTTCAAAACAAAAGCAGCGGAAAGATAAGGCGTGAATTTTAAGTGGACTATATATAACGTTTCTTTTGAATGCAGTGAGGCAGTAAATCAAAGAAATTAAGCCCTCCTGTCTCTAAAGAATGACAGGAATAACAACCCGTTGCATTTTTCTTGACCTTGGAATCAAGAAATTTCTAAACAACAGAAAGCGACCTTGATCAAGGAAGGGGGAATTGGATTGTTCTGGAAGCAATCTCGAGGAGCTGTGATTCTCGTGGGACAATGCATGACTCTCTACACTCGTGGGTTAACAAATTACGCTATTTGAAGTTCAGCCTTGAATTAAAATTCGATTAGTTTTCTGTGGCAGACATCTCGGCAATGGATCCGCCGACAAGTGCAAGGTGGGCACAGAATGTCACCTCCGAGTCTTCCAACACATTAACCTCATCTGCTCTTACAGCGACAATCTTCAAAACAGTTTTTCTTGTTCTTATCGCCGTGGTGAATATATTGGGGAATACAAGCATTTGTTTTATTGTTCTTAAAGACAGACAACTACGGGCCTCGGTGCGGAATTACGCCGTAGCAAGCCTAGCCTTGTCAGACTTACTCTCCGTTCAAATTATGATTTTCCAAATTTTGACTTACTTTGACATTGGTAAAACTCCTATCACGTGCACGCTCATGGGCAGAATGTTTGGTTGTCTTCTTTACATCAGCATTTTGCACTTATTTACGTTAAGCATGGACAGATACATAGCAATATTTTACCCATTACGCTACAGATTCATGGTTACTCCGACAAGGACAGCTGTGATTTTGTTAACGATCTGGATTGTCCCAGTATCCTCAATACTGATCTTCCCTGCTGCGCTAGCAGATCTTCGTGGCTATGCAAGCTTCTATGGATGCATAGACCAAGGTTCGATAGAAACTATTGACAAAAAGGATCGCTTCCATATGAGTGCGAACGTAATTTTTCTTTTCTTTCTACCACTTCTGGTGATGATGTGGGCTTACTGTCGAATTAGCAAAGTTGCTTGGTATCAAGCCAACCGAGTTGGTGTTGCTGTGATCTCGGTAGTCAGAGTGCCACAAGTTCGCTGTATTCCCCGTGCACGAGACAGAAAATGGGCTAAAACCTTAGGTAGGTTTATCTTGTTAGAGTATCATTGACCGAGCTAAGTCACGGCTTGTGAATTTTGACCAATTTAACCTTAATTCTTCCGGTTAGTCGTCCAAAATCCTCTTTTAATTTAAACGTCCTTACACTATTTTTGAGCTTTATTTCCTCTTTAGTGTTTGTTTCCAAAGCGAAATCTATTATATCAAATTTTCCCTAATTGACAACTTGAGAGAAAGGACAAAAAAGTATCGCGGCTAAAAATATCATGCTAGCTGGAGTCTCCCAACTGCCCGATGGGGGGAGGGTGAGTTGGTGGATGTTACTTGTAACAGCAGGGGTAAGGCAATTACGGTTTATGTTAGGCAGAAAAAAATCGTGCCATTTGACCAAGGGTAGCGGAGTCATTCAATGGTACTGCATTCCTCGGTGACATATCATTTTTTCTCAGTTCTCTTTCTTAGAATAGAGCACTGAGTTTCTGTCTGTAAACCAATCCTCAATGTTGGAAAAGGAACAATTTTCGGAAAGGCGAATTTTGTCATTACTGTATATCATAGGCATTTTGAAGTATTTTCAAAGTACTTCTGCTCCTTAGCGAGCACGGGGACCCCCTTCTTAATTTCAAAATTTTTGTTTCTGTACTGAAGGTGAACAACCATTAGGTAAAGTCTGACAAAAATATCAGTGCAGTTTCTATTTCAGAGGAAAGACCTTAAAAAGTTAAACGAGTTACAACGGGTCATAAAGTCAATCCTTCAACAAAGCTTTCTTGACACAAAAGAAAGGCTCGCCAAATTCGAAGAAAGCCTGAAAATAATTTTTCTTATACCAAAAGTATAAATGTCTGGGCCAAGACTTACTAAATAGCCGACATATCAACAGAAGAAGAGTACCCTTTGTAGTACCCATGGAGTTAAAAAAAATTAAAAACAATAGTACTCGCGCAAAATATGCAGTATGCCACAACAACATGTTTACTTTTAAAATAAATATTGCCTCATGCCTCGCAGACACCTGATGGTGTTGTTATTAATGTTGTTGTTTCGCAAGTTTCGCAGAAATTCTGAAAACAACTTGTCACTTTATTTTAATCATTCCTTAGCTAGTGGGAGAATAGGTTTAAACAAAATAACAAAGATCGTGCAGAGAAAAAAAAGCTTCCTCGTAGACACCTATGGCCCACTCAGGAGGTATTTCGGCAGCGGAATCATGAATCAATCGGTTGTAAATTGCCCATTGTAGATCGAGTGAAATCTTCCGGAGGTTTGACGCTTGCTCCAAATGGAAATCAAGGGTGCATGAAGTAACCGTTTGTCTTAAGGAAATAATCCTTTGAATACCGTCACATTAATGGGGTAATAATAGGGCGAATGTCATTTAATTTAGCTTCTACCACGCTCAACCGTAAACATCGGGCGTAAGCTACAGATTCGCGGGTATCCGCTTGATAAAGGTTTCAGTCATTCATCAAAGACGTCATTGTCCCTGAGCTCACTTTATGTTTGAACGAATTATAGGGGTCCGGAACACGATTTTTAAATCATTCAAGGATGGACGGGATGGAACACCATTACAATTACTCTTCCGTTGAAATACCTCGTATGCGCTGCACATAAAAAGATACAGCAGATCACTACAGACATCAGCACTCCAGATAATGCAAAAATCAAAACAGACATTGCCTCGAGCTCGTTAGCGATAATGGAAACTTGTCATTATCGCCTGTAGAAAACCCAGATTAATTACTTTTACTCTCAAAACCAATATCAATATCAGTTCTTTGATAGCCGGACCACGAAACATCTTTTTCCTTAGCCTCAAATACTAACTTTTGCGTTGTTTTTTTTGTTGTTGTTCTTCTACAGCGATTGTGATTGGGGCATTCCTGGGCTGCTATCTGCCAATTGTGGTGGCATCCTTAGTACATATTTTCGCTAGACAAACAACAAGTTGCTCCTTAACACGGACTTTGGAAATTTTATTATTTCTCACATTTTCCAACACCGTTTTAAATCCCCTGATTTACTCTCTTCGGAACCATGAGTACAGAAGAGCTTTCCAAAAGACATTGAGAAGATGCTACCGAGAGTCAAACAACAATCAAGGTTTACGACTCAGTTACTTCAAACAAGACCTTGAAAGTCTTACTGTGTCTAGTCTCGTGACTTCAAAGCACGTGAACACCTCGTGATATTTTAAAGACGATTCTATCTACTACACTTAACTCCTCGTGGAAATGAAAATTGTTTCTATAAAACAGCTTATTTTTTAAGACACACTTTACAATGTTATTTTTGCATACCATGCTGACAATGCTGAGAATAGATTATTTTACAACCCTCTCCTAGTCATTTTGTTTCTTTTATCGTTCAAAACTTAAAAATTATTCTTAACAGAAGTGCAAAANATTATTAACACTTGCCTTTTATCTGGTTGAGATCTTTGGGGGTAGGGTGATGGAAATGGCGCAAGCCAGGGAAAATAATATTGCACATTGGCTGAGTGCCCACACCTCAAGCACCTATCTTTAAATAAATGGTTCCTCTGTTGTGACCAAGTGGAAAATCCTTCAGTATGACATGGAATAACACTCATCAAGTGAATATAAACTGCACTCAAGTTACTTTATCTTTTCTGTACCCGGGGCCCGTTTCTCGGAGGTCCCGGTAACTTAACTGGCCCATAAAGCTGTTCTGTTTTTCATTTGATAAGGGGAATTTCAAAAGTTTTAACAATGATACAACAAAACTATCAGCTAAAGAAACAGAAAGGACTGGTTTGGGTGGCAGAACCTGCTTTCCTATCCTTTATGATTTTAAAACATGGTAACCACCGTACTTCCTAAGTTTAGTGATCCCCTAAAGTAAAACCCGTTTAGAATACGCCCCCTCCAAGAAACCAAAATTTAAACAAGCACCCCTTCCTCCACCTCCAGCTCTATCAAGGGGAATTGTCCTTTTCGCAGAACTATCTAAATGTGCATAATTGGGGGGAAAAGGGTGTGCATAATTGAAAAAAAAAAAAGGGTTGTACCTAGGTTAAGATTTTGGAAAAATTTTAATCAAATAAGCACTTATCTCACTAATAGGCTTTTCTTCCATAATACGGCAACGACAAGCGCAAAATAGAAGATGGTATAGCACTGTAGGAGACGGATGGAAAGTGGAGAAACAAAATGATATCCACTTGCATTACATGTCAATCATTGAATAAGTTACCTACAAGACTTAAAGAGCTTTCATGTTGCTAAAGACTTCATCCTTTTAACAGGGAGATGTATCATACACGACAGTGCAACCAAGCAACTGTCTTTTACCGCTGACCACCTTCTTGCTCTCACATCTGGAAAAAGCGTCCACATGCGCGTTCAGGAGCTAGTGAAAATAGTCGCTGTTTCTGTCCCACGTGACGCGAGCGTATCTCCCCCACCTTTGCTAATGAAGAGCCTAGATGAAGTTATTGATTCAGATCGCAATGTTCCCTTTGAGAATGGATTCAGTCGAAGGTTTCTTGCCGCCCCTGATGGCTACAACATCTCGTTCCACAACACGTTTTGTTCAACCAAGTTTAGCAAGCATCTCCAATATCTAAATAACAAAGAAGTGGTCTATTTCATCAAAGGTCAAGGTGAATACGTATGGGAAAATGGGAAGCGTCGACACGATTTTGACTCTGAAAAGCATCATGGAACTATGTTTCTTGTGGCCAACAACGCACACGAGGTGAAAATTGGCGCTAGAGATTCCATTGCAATCTGCTTGTTCTTTCCACCACTTATGGGAAACGAACGGCTGAAGACTGGTCAGGAGAATGGTTCTTCATATTAGTCCCAGGCCTACTTCATACTGACTACCTAGTGTAGACCTCAAAGCTTGGAGAATTTTCTACTTCGAGCTTTTTCGCTTCTATTTTGCAGTTGTAACAACACACTTCTTTGTTACAGCACTTTCAAATTTTCCATTATTCAGCTTTGAAAGTGGAAATCGGCCCCCCTCCCCCCTCCCGCGAGTTATTTGGTAGGTTTTCAGTAATTATTTGAAGTTCCTCGGCATTGTTTTTAAGGTTACGCAATCACTTAAGTCTTTGGTTTGTACTTTCTAAAGGAATTGGGTCACGTAAAGAATAAGGAATGAGAAAGGTTTTATGCGCTCATTTCGTAAAGTTTGCCTTCGATAAACCGATCTAACATCGATCGTTCCGTTCAGTATTTTTTGAGGCCTCTTAGTATGTTAAATAGAAGGTATTATCCATTAAAAGATGAACCAGTACCCGTTATCAGTTTCTTTTTGTTTTTGAGGAACCCAATCTGAATTAATAGCTTTTCTGCTTTGAAAATTGAAACCATTTTGACAGTTCTCGGAAAGGAAAGGAGTTTTAACTCCCTTTCTTGGTCATAGTTTCACGTCTTGGCAGATTTCTCTCCCAGCACGGACTCAACCCTACCTAAACGTTATGTTACATTTGATTAATTGCTGCTTTTTGTTACGAAGTGAGACAAGTGTTTTTACAAGGTGCGATTTTCTGTTACTAAGAAGCGTGACCACTTTATCATTTGGGGCGACAAGGATTACAAAGTGCGAAGGAAAACACCTCAGCTGTGTTTCAACGGCGAGAAAACTACTTAAATCCCTGTAGCTTACCCTGCCTGAAGACTACAAAAAGTCTGGTCCAGTCGCTCGGGTAAGTTTAAAAGTTGCTGAAGATTTCGGTGTTTAGCCCGGCATTGAGATGAGTGTACGAGTAAGAATCAAAGTGCCAGTAATTAACGAGCCTATCTATGGATCTCTTCCCCTGTATTAACTCATGGAAACACGTCCTTACTTGTCAGTCAGTCCAAATTGTTCTCTCCTCCCCTTTAGCGCTCGATTCAATTTCGATCAGTTTACACAAATACTACTGAATGTAATATACGAGATACACCTATAGTTTCACACAACTCCCTAGCGACACTGCCTAGTACATTCTTATCATGTATGTGCTCTTGAAACTGATCTTAGAAATTATCCCCGGCAGAGCAGCAAGAAATCATTTGACATCAGTTTCATCGACAGAATATTGGACAAGTATGGATTCTAGTTTTTCTGACCAAGATGGGGATTCCAATTCCAAAATCAGCAGTTCACAGTATCTTTGAAAGACAGTCTAACTGGGAAAGGCAATCAAAAATGAAAACATCCCTTAGTATTTAAAGCAAGTGTGTAAACATGAATATCTATTAACTAAAATATACATGTACAGTTTTCACAGCAATTTTATTGTACAGAGCCACAATAACAACTTGGTAATAAATAAAAGTGGTGTTGGAGTGAACTACATAAAACAAAGTTACCTCAGGGTAGGAAGAAAGCAGAATCTGATGTTCTGTGAGGTGACATGCGAAAGAACTGCTACTACCGACGACAAATGCTTACATTCCAGTGCACTAGTAACCAGGGAAAGAAATGCCGCTAAGTGATAATACTAATTACTTGTTTATTTTCGGAAGTAACAATCGATCGTGTAGTGTGATCATACGGGTGAGGAGAGTCCTAAATGCGAGTGTTGTCGATGGTAGTAATTAAGTTCTCAACAATGACTGTGCGGGCTTTTGATCATTCAGCCTTTAGTGATTCCCCATTACTAGCTTATTAGAGGTATTAAAATTGCTCTGTGAACATTTTTTTTTAATGTCATTTTTTGTCCATTATTTCTTCCTCGAACAATCATTGGTATCATTTAGTCTTGGGTACTGGCTTTAAACAAAACAGCCGCTTCAATCTACTCACAACATACTTCTTCTATTCACTATTTTGTTATCATCACAGGTAAAACATTGACTTAACAATGAGCGGTAAGCATTCACATTTGAAGACCAAGAGGAAAGCATTTGTATTTAATTTAAATTTGTCCGTCTATCCATTATTTTGCTTATTCTTCAACGTAGACTCAATGCATGAAGACTCGGCATCTTTGGCAGCCGAGCTTTACTTTCGTTACGCAACACGCTCTGTTCTTCACAAAACACGCTCTCTTCACGCAACATGCTTCCTTCTTCCCGCAGAACACTCTCTTTTCTTCAAAGGAGAACCTGACTTTGCGTGGTGAGCCAGACCTATCAACTGCTGCAGGGGATCCGGGCGAGGGCGTCGCGATATTAGATTTGATCACTCCAAATTCTCTTCCGTAATTATTCTTTCAAAATATTTCCATTTGAAATGATTACAGCCACTAAAAAAAAAAAATAATAATAATAAAACGCAGTCCATTCTGGATTTGATTTACAACAAATATTGTAAATTTTAGTGTTCACCAGAGAATTCTTATTCCAAGCGCCACTGGCGAAAACTAAAATCTTAAAAGACACAAAGTAGTTGAAAGTTTCTTCTCTCTCTTCGCGAACAGATCCGATAAAATACCCGCGAAACGAATACAAAACAGCCCGAAAGTAAGATCTATGAACAAAATACTGGTGAGGTTGAAGACAACCCTTTCGATAACGGATTTCTCGGATAATCTGGCTTCACGAACAGGGGTCGGTTAAATTTTATCGTTCCAAAACCGTCTCAATAGCTGGCAAAGGCGCGTCGTGACATCTCTTCGAAAACAGAGAAATTACCTCAGGGGTTAAAGGTTAAAAAAAAAAAAAGGCCTGACAGCGAGACTAAAGAAAACATTTTGAGTGAATAGGATCGTGTAAATTTACATAACTAAACTTTCCTTCCTGTTTATATTTGTATATGGGGATATCAAGTTTTGGTCACATGGTCAGAAATTGGTGGGAAAATATCGATAGGAAGAAAGAATGTTTGGAATAAAGTAACAGAACCTCGTTCGATATCGAGTCTCACCTTAATGTAAATCACTGCCTTCAATGAGACCATCACATGTAAATTCATTCTTACAAAGAGTTCATTAACAGCCCAGTGGAAAACAAGATTTATCTTAGTTTTTACTGGCGACAATTACTGCGAAGTAGTAAGGCCGCTAATGTAAACCTCTACAGTAACTTTTCACTAACTACGAAGTCGTAACAATTCAAAATTGATTACATCGCGATGAGCAGACGTTCCGAAGAAATACGAAATAGTATGCGACATCTAATTGGACAAATAGAAGGCTAAACAAACTCTTCTACTCTAATGCCAGCGAATAACAGTGCTTGTTAGATCGAAAATTTAAAATTAATCCGTCGTGTCGTAAACTCGTCTTAACGAGAAGTTCATTGCCCCAGTTGGTTTGTCAAACTAAATAATTATTTTGGCCCAGTTTTTAAGAGAGCAGGTATTTGAACAGAAATAGGTTTTCCTCTCCTCAGATCTTCTTTAAAAAGGTGGGTGGTACAATACGTCTACTAAGTCTAAATTTTCCTAACGGGGTTTCTAGTATCACGGTATGATAAGGACAACAATTCATCAGCAGTTTCATAGACAACACGCTCAGACGGGGTTAAGAATGAAAACTTATCCCTCAATTTTTAAAAACTTCGATTCTTTTGATATCCACTTTGCGGACACAGACAACTTTGGCTTTTATAGAACACTATTTCCATGTTAAATGTCCTTATCGGTATCAAACGAAGATCCTTTGACTCTTGCTAGATCTTTCCAGGCGCGGAATAAAAACTACCAGTTTTGTATTTTTTTTTTTTTTTGTCTGTTTTATTCTAGACAGAAAAATTGGAGATGGACGCTCTTCAGCTGATCATATTGTTATTCTCATCAGTCAGATTGATTGCCGAGGCTAACTCCACTCAAAAGGTGAACAACCCAATAAAATTCAAAGTTTTCATGTTAATTTGTTCAATTTCCATCTACCC